GCTATTATACTTTACTTGGTCGGGTTGATGATATACTTGTTCATGTCACTGGTGAAAAGACAAATCCAATACCTATCGAAGATAAAATTCGTCATAACCAATTTGTTAAACATGCAGTTGTCGTTGGAAATAATCGACCATTAAATTGTCTTTTAGTTGAACTCAATTTCGATAATTTAAAAAATACGCCTTTCTTGGAAATCACAAAAAGTATTATTGACTCTGTTCATCAAGCTAATGTTGACTGTCCATCACATTCTCGAATTTTTGACGAAATGGTTTATATCTTACCTCTTGAAGGAAAAACCTTACCTAGAACCTTTAAAAATAATATTCAACGTAAAAAAGTTGAAGTAGAATTTAAAGAAGAAATAGAAATGCTTTATGATAATTTAGTAAATGGAAAAGTTGTTCAGAATGAGAAATCCTTTTCTGATCGTCAATGGAATGAAGATTCCATAAAAACTGTTGTATTAGATTCTCTTAAATTAGCTATTGGAGATTCATTTTCATCAACTAACGAAGAGGAAACTTCATTCTTTGCTCTTGGTCTAGACTCTTTATCTGCAACCAAATTACGATCTATTCTTCAAAAACAATTTTCGGCTATCAACCTTTCTCATGATGTGATTTTCGAATATAATACATTCAAAAGTCTTACACATTATTTGACAAAAAATTTATTAAAAAACAACACTCAACAAAGTATCGAAGATGGCTACGAAGCAAAATTACAAGCTCTTAAAAATGAAGTGGATTCATATATCCAAAAATATAGTAAAACTGATGATTTTCCTTCCCAAGGAAACGTTAATAATGGAATTAATGAAATCGTAAATGAACAAAATGGTGAAACGGTCCTTATGACAGGAGTTACTGGATCCCTTGGCTCTTTTCTCCTCCGTGATTTGTTAAAAAATCCAAATGTACTTAAAGTTTATTGTTTGGTGAGAGCGTCAGATGAAAATCATGGATGGACTCGATTAAAGGATTCATTTGAACAACGTAATTTGGATACTTCATTATTATCTAAGGAACGAGTTATTATTTTACCAAGTGATTTGAGTGATTCAAAACTTGGACAAACCGAAAATATTTATTCAAAACTTGTACATGAAACAACACAAATTTATCACGTCGCTTGGAGATTGGACTTTAATAGCAAAATCGAAGCTTTTGAACGTGAAAGCATCGGTGGAACTGTTCATCTTCTTATGCTCGCTCGTGATGCATATGCTCATCATCAAAATGTTCACTTTAACTTTACCTCAAGTATCAGTACAACTATTGGATCAAAAACGAATATTAAAGAGGATGAATTACCTCAAGATATTGCAAATGCAATGCTTAATGGATACGGTTTATCAAAATTCGTTACTGAACATGTATCCGCAGAATGGTCGCGAAAAATTGGGTTTAAACTTGACATTCATCGTGTTGGACAAATTTGTGGAGATTCAGTTACGGGGGTTTGGAATACTCGAGAACATATTCCACTTATGATAAAAGGTGCTCAAGTTATGAAAGTTATGCCGAATTCATATTCTTCAAATGTAGATTGGATTCCTGTTGATGTTGCATCTCAAAGCATCATTGATATTTCCTTGAACGCACCTTTTGAAAATGATGGTGATTATGTTCGAGTTAACCATATACTTAATCCAAAGATAACCACATGGGATGAATTCTTAGAATCTTTACAACAAAGCGGGATAGATTTTAAGATTGTTTCAAACGAAGAATGGTTAAACATATTATTAAATACTCCCGAATATCAAAATGTGGATAAAAACCCAGTGGTCGCATTATCGGGATTTTTCGAAAAGGCTATGAGCGAATCATCAGATAAGAGCGAAAAACATGAACCATTATTCGAAACACATAAGTCAGTAAATCGTAGTTTAGCACTTTCTAATTGTCAAAAAGTTGATGCTAAATTAACCAAATTATTTATTAATAATTGGAAAAAAATTTCATTCCTAGATTAAGTCAATGTTTTTTATTAAAATTGTATTTTCGCTCCAAAAATTTCTTTATTATTCTCATTTATTTTAGTAACTATAGAATATGTTATTTTCTTGAAATTTGGACTTTTTTCATAAAGTAAATAAATGTGTAATATATTTTCTTGGATTTTTTCATAATAAATATTAAATTTCAAATCGTATTTCCTCAGAATTTTACATAACTGGAAGTTTGATCCAAATACTTAAAACTTTAAGAAAAAAATTTTTTTATTAATTTACTAGGTCTATAATATTTAATTTTTCCGTAATTATACGAATCTGAAAAACTTTGTTAATGATTAAACGACATAGTAAGGTAAAGAGTGCCTATTTAAGTAAAGTAGAAGACCTGCTTGTATAACAGTTGCAATTTGTGCATTACACATAGGTAGTAAATTAGTCTAGAAACTGGTACGTACCGATACAAATAACCTAAAACATCTAAAATTACAGTTTCTCATAAATAGAATTTCACGAAAAAATCTTTCGTAATCTGGATATACGTATTATCTTTATAGTAGTTAACACTAGGTATCAGCATTATACTATTGTATCAAACAATTTGATTGGGTATCATATTTTTTGTTTTTTGGGGATCTGCAAAAATATGCGGTGCCACCTGATCCAGAAAATTGATTGGCCGCTGTCAATGGACATTGCATGATTTGGAGTAGACATAGAGTCCTCCGCTACGCTTCGGACAAAAATTAGGGCGACTTTTTTTACACTACCCTAAATTTATGACGTGGTTATGATAGATACTTAACGTGAGTCAAATCATTTGACTATAATATATGTCGCTGGAAATGGCTAAAGCTGGATTAGAAACCTCGATTTGAAAATATAAACCTACCAAAATCCACTTATACAATTTTAATATAAACACTAACCCTAAATCCTAAGCTAACTATAAAACAAAAGCTAAAAAAATGCACCCCAAAAAATTTGAAATTTCATATTAAAATGAATTTGTAGCTATAAGTTATTTTTTATATCCCTCAAATTTATTCATATCTTTTGCAGATTTAACTTTTTTTTTGAACTTTGAGTGAAGATATCTCAGTAACTATCAGATCAAATTTAACAAAATTTTTTTTTAAATGTTATAGATTTATAGAATTCAAACAAAAAAAAGTTCAAATTTGGTCTAGTAGTTGCTGAGATATCTTTGCTCAAAGTTTGAAGAAAATCAAAATGTCTATCAAAACAAATCATACAAAATTTTTTTTAAACTTTGAGTGAAGATATCTCAACAACTACTGGGCCAAATTCAATAAGCTTTTTTATTTGAATTTTATAAATTCATAGAATTCAAACAAAAAATCATCAAATTTGACTTAGTAGTTGCTAAGATATCTTTGCTTAAAGTTGAAAAAAGTTTTGTATAGTTTGTTTATAGATGTTTTTATTTTCTTCAAACTTTGAGCAAAGATATCTTAGCAACTATTGGGCCAAATTCAATGAACTTTTTTATATTTAAGTCCTATATATCTATAAAATTTTTAAAAAAAGATTTGGCCTGGTAGTTGCTGAGATATCTTTGTTCAAAAATTAAAAAAAGGTTAAATTTGCAGGAAATATAATAATAAATTTGGGATATAAAAATAGTTCTCTAGTTTTATTGTTTTTGGGGTTCAATTTAATAGCATTAAAGAAATTCATTTTGATTAGTTGTTATTATACCCTAAAAATAATATCAGATAGATTATTTGTTATATTTGAATAAAGTTTATTATTATAAACTTTTAATACTTTCTAAAGATACTTTTACAGAACATTAATTTAGTTTCATAATAACTGTTTTAACTCAAATTTCATGATGTATATATCTGTATTATTTATTTTATGATAAGTATATTATTTTACAAAAAACACTTTAATTCACTTTCACAATACATTATTACACATACTTAAACAATTCTAAATACTAGCACTATTACAACTTCTTATATCTATAAATGTTATATTTATAAACTATATTTGCAACCTAAATAAATACAACAAAAAAGTTTAGAATAGTAGTTCAAAAGAATATTTTTTATTTGTAAAAGGTAAACAAGACTAGTTGAGACAAAACCCATAATTTTTACTTACTAAGTTTCTTGAACTTTTGCATCTTACTGCATCTCTTATTAAAAACAGTAGGTTTAAAAGTGAAAAATCAGTAGCTTAAGTTTGTTGTTTCGCCGACGTCCTAGCTCTCCCACAAAAAATTGTTCACCCTGTAATTTTGACCAATCAAATTTCAGGATCAGGTGTAATGTAAAAATTGAAACGAAACTATTTTTTACAAAAAAACAAGAATAACGCGGCCTAATTAAAATGTTCCTCATGATTTTTACTAACAAGCGTCATATTGTTCTAATCTCAACCCTAATTATAACACGGTTTTCTTGGTTTTTATTTACACGTAACTTTTTTACTTAGAAAACAAAACACGTTTGTTATGACACCTGATCTTAAATTTTGATTGGTCAAAATTACTGGGGATGAACAATTTTTTGTAAAAACGCCACGTATTACAAAAAAAAATTCTATATAGCATGACGATTTTTACTAATAACGATAAAAGTATTTTAAAAATTAAAATTGACTATATAAATAAATGATCATTTATTTTAATTTTAGCCAATCAAAATAAACTTCAATGCTCAGTTTAATAAATGCGTTATATGAATGATTAGAATGTACATTCATTTAACATACGTTTTTTAATTATCGCGCTTTTCAAATTACTGTGTCCACTGATTTTCATACATATCACTGGGAATCAGAAATCTAGAAAAAATGCCAATACGTGATTGGCTAAAACTTATTTTTAACCAATCACAGATTTGCATTTATTCTAGATTTCTGATTGCCGGTGTGATGCATGAAAATCAGTGAACACATTAATTTGAAAAGCGCGATAAATGAAATTGAGCTTAAAGGCATACCCCGAGCAAGAACCTTGTGCTTCCCTCTAGCTCTAAGTTCTGATGCTGAAACCAAACTATCGTGTATATTTAAAGAGAGTATACAGTTAGGAAGGGCGTGTTTTGAGAGGTTAGGCTGTATTATATTATGATCACCTTGGTCATATAAACTTTGGTGTAACTTAAAATGTCAACACTGCATTATTACCTTCTGCGAACTAACAAAAGGTTTTCCTTGCAACCTTTTGGTATTACTGTGATTTAAACCTTGATAGCGAAAACGTATCTCTAATATAAGGCCACGCAAAGTTAATTTTTCGTTTTGCATTACATGGAATCTGAAAATTGGGTCGGTCGGTCGGATTTTTTTTTTAATTTGAACGTCACCAAAGGAAAACCAGACCTCGGGCTTACGATTTTATTTGTTGCAGACATGTTTTAGTTCAGTAAAT